ATATTCTATGAACATCTTATTGGTCGAACCTTATGACAACATAAATAATTCCCTTTGTCTGTCGGTATGTTACTTGCTCGAGATTCGATCATTGGTATCTTCATACCTAGTGCAATCTCGTTACCGGCAAGTCTCTTTACTCGTTCTGTAATACATCATCTCGTAACTAACTCCTTAGTCATTTTTCTTGCAAGCTTCTTGTGATGTGTATTACCGAGAGGGCCCAGAGATACCTCTCTGATACACGGAGTGACAAATCCTAATCTCAATCCATGCCAACTCAACAGACACCTTCGGAGATACCTGTAGAGAATCTTTATGATCACCCAGTTACATTGTGACGTTTGTTAGCACACAAGGTATTCCTCTGGTATCCGGGAGTTGCATGATCTCATAGTCGAAGGAATATGTATTTGACATGAAGAAAGCAATAGCAATAAACTAAACGATCATATGCTAAGCTAACGGATGGGTCTTATCCATCACATCATTCTCATAATGATGTGATCCCGTTATCAAGTGACAACATATGTCCATGGTTAGGAAACCTTAACCATCTTTGACTAACGAGCTAGTCTAGTAGAGGCTTACTAGGGACACGTTATTTGTTTATGTATCCACACATGTACTTAAGTTTCCGATAAATACAATTCAGCATGAATAATAAACTTTTATCATGAATAAGGAAATATAGTAATAACAACTGTATTATTGCCTCTAGGGCATATTTCCATCAGAATTTTGTCTCTCAAAATCATTTCAATAACAATGCTTATAGGGGTAATTTCAATCCTAGGCCATTTCATGGAAATTCCTCTAATAATTATGGCAATTCCTATGGTAATTCATATATAATAATAATAATAATAATAATAATAATAATAATAATAATAATAGGATGCCCTCTGATCTTGAAAGTGATATTAAATAATTTATTAATTCTCAAAAGATTTTCAGTACTATGATAGAGGAACAAATTGAATAAAGTTGATGACATGGCTAGGAATATGGATAGGATTGCTCATGATGCGAAAAATTTCAAATCTAAAATTTTGCCACCCAAGCTTGATATTAATGAGTCTATTGAAGCAATCTGTGTCTCCATTAATGAAAGTAAATGAAGAACCGCTAGGTTGAGAGCTAAGCGAGAATTCCTAGAAAAGGCTCTTCCGCCTGATTTTTACCGTAACCATGATGAAGATATTAAAATGATTGGTGTCTCACCCATTGAATCTTTTTTAGTAATATAAAACTTGATGAAAAAGGGACTAAAGATGAGTCAACTTTAGCTAGAAGACGTCCCAATTGTTCGGGGGGTGACAATCTTAATGAAAAAATTGATAAAAGTGGGTTTGGAGAGGTCAAAACTTTATTTGATCTCCAAGTGAAGCTAACTAAAGAGATCACAACATGTCCTCCTTTTGTTTTAATTGATCATGCTCATGCAACTAACCCTTTTTGTGAGCATGCTCATCTTGTTGAGGAGAACACTAAATTGAAGGAGCAACTTGAGAAAGGCCTTGTCTCGTGCATACAAGGTGAGAATAACCTCAACAAACTTTTGAGCAATCAAAAGGAAGTTCTAGCTAAGGAGGGGCTTGGATTTGCACCCAAGTCGAAGAAGAAGAACATCAAGAAGAGCAAGACCAAGCAATCTCTTCCTCTCGAAGATGTATTTGTGAAGGAGGGAGAGAATGCTCCAAAGGAGAAGAAGAACAAGGTGGTGGGTGGTAGCCAAAAGGGGCAAAGCCACTTATCCCGATCATGCCAGCGATTTTAAACATTCTTATGCTTTATGTCGTGCTAGTGAAAGCCAACTAGAACTCTGTTGCTGATGAAGAATGGCAAAAGAGCAGTTGGAACGGTTGATTCATTGGAAGGAAAATTGTGAGTCGTGAAGTCTTAACACCCACTTTTTGGTAACCCAAGTGGATGATTTCTAATATAGTAACTCCAGTGATAACAGTGGAAAGAGGAGTCTCACTCCACGCTTTGTGACACCGTCAAACAAGAGTCCTTCGAGGGAAGAGTGAAAAAGAGAGGTTGAATAAAGGGAGAGGTGATCGATACTCTGCCACACTTGAGACCATGGTGATAGTAAATAAGGAGCTTGCCATAGATAAGGGAGCAGATAAGGACTCAAAATTGATGGAGCCCAAAGAATTGGAGGAGCTCCAGTTTGCCTTAGAGGAGCGAAGGTGATCCATGATGGGACGCCAAATTTCCGATGAGGAGATCATGTTGAGGAACAAGCAAGAGAAGCAGGAGCAAAGGCTTAAGTTCATGAATTTAGAGGCCCTTTACGAGAAGGGGAAAGCCTACTTCGAGCTTATGCGCTGTCAGTGAGAAGGATACCTAATCGAAGGAGGGGGGCCTATGGGCGTACCTAGACCGAGGTGCACGAACGAGTGTGTAAGGGCTCCATGAGTCCCACACCCATTGTGCCCCGAGTACATTCAAAGGGGATGAAGATGGGTGTGATAAGTTAGAGAATACACTATTATGGGAGATATGTCCCTGTTATAATGGGGTGATCATACTCGAAGATAGTTCCTGAACTACTAACATTTCATCTACCTATAAAAGGATAGATGCACCTCTATCAAGGATCAAGTCATTCCAGGAGCAATAAGCCCATAGCAAGCTAATTATAGATCCACTCCATTGTAATCCTCATACTGATTCATAAAAAAATAGACAGGGCGTAGGGGTATTACCCACCTGGGAGGCTAAAGTTGGGTAAAACACTGTGCCACCTTCGTTGCTATCGAGATCCCTTCGGCACCGCTACTCCCTCTACTGTCTTCCACGGCCTCTAGTAGATCGTAAGATTAGTAGTGCATTAATCGTCTACATGCATGATCAATTTTGCCGGCCAAGGCAATGTGCAACTACATGAGAGGTTTCAGTCCCAGGTTCGTCATGCCAGTGATGGTAACTTGGGTGGCATGGTGGCGATGAGAGGGCATGATGGTTGAACTATCATTACTGATTTGGTTGGTAGTTGTCTTGTGACGATGACCTCTTTTGGATGAATTATGCTTGTTTAATCTCAATTTGAAATTTTGAACTTCTAACTTTGATATGTATTGGAATTGTGAGGATATGATCATATTTTTTTGAATTCTTGTCCGCCCATTTATTTATCACCACTTTGGTCTTTTATTAGTCAATGGTTTATAGATGAGAGGACACCCTAACAATATCGATTTAACATTCCATTATCGAATCTCCTAAATTGGAAACAGGAAAAGTAATCGAAATCTTGTGCCAAGGGGCCATACGAAATTCACTCGTGATAAATCCCGATGATAGTTTGAATGTGAAGAAGAGATATATATAGCCAAATAAAAGGTAGGCAAGCAAATTTAGACTTGATGTTGGAGAAGAGAAATGATTCCTAAGACTCATCCCTTCTATACATAAAATTGCTTTTTGATCATCATTTTTGGGTAACCTACCAAAGATACTCTTACCGACTGCCATAACTCAAGGCATGAGCAAATGCCATAGTTAGGTTTATGATTTGTGATCCTGTAACGAGGAGAGGACTAGGACACCGATGTATATAGTCAGGAGCAACGTTACATCCATGACTGACTTTTATGGAGTTGCGTTTTACATGTTTCTATGGCAAGTTTTGGGAAATGGAGCCCCCCCACACTTGAAATTCGGAGTGAAGAAAAAGGGTTTGTAGGACTTTTCATTGGATTCACTCATAAATTGTATCCACTCTGATTTAAAACAAGTGTCGTAATTTTAAACTAAAGTCCAAAATAAATGTCACAGATTTAAACTAATGTTAGGAGGAAGTAGCAATTTCGGTATAGATTTTTCTTATAATAGTGTGGTGTATTTTTGTCATGCGTTTACCGAAGATTTCCTAGAAAAGCTAGGAGCATGTGGTAAATTCTTATCCGGTCGGACCGGCAACATAAACTTGCTTCCGTTTTCTCTTTCTCAGCCTGGCCGTGGCCGGCCGCGCGAGCTCCACGTCCTCTTCTCCCTCCCCCACACCCTAATCCACTCCATTTCCCTGCTCCGAACACGGCACGGCTCCTCCTCTCCCACTCCCATCCTCCTCTTCAATGGCGCTCGCCTCCACCACCGCCTCCCGCCTCATCAGCCGCCGCCACGCCGCTCCCCTCCCGCCTCCTCCTTCCTCTTCCTGCGCCGCGCCGCGAGGAGGAGCCAGGCCAGGGCTGCGCCGGTTCGCGGTGCGCTGGGAGGGCAGGCCGAGGGCGCTCCTGGGAGGATTCTCGGACGCCGATGAAGATGCCAGCGACGACGAGGACGAGGAGGATGGCCCGGGCGCGCTCAGCGGTGGGCCGCCGAGGCAGGAGCAGGAGTGCGAGGACGTCATCGAGCTCGCCGCCGCTGCCTTCTCCGGGCCCGAGCGCTGGGACGTGCTCGGACTCGGCCAGGCCATGGTGCGCACATTCTTACCGTTGCTAATCTGCAATCAACCAGTAGCTTCAAGCCTTCGACATAACGTAGGGCATTGAGTGGATTCTCTGACAAGATTTTGGTGTTGTTTTTACTGTTAATGATTTAACATTTCGACTTGTGCAAGTTTGACGGTGTTTACTAATGACCTGAATGTTTCCTCGATGTTTGGTCGTGCTACTATATTGTTTCCTAAGTAAATGTGGAATTGAAGGTGGTTTCCCGATGCCAAATTGCAAGAAACCAGTAGCTGGGAAAACAAACATTGACCCCTTCCATGCACCACAAATGCAGAATACACATTGCTAGTAATTGGTGTGAATAGGCTGTGGTGGCTGTCACTAGTGTCAGGGATTCGTCTTGTGGCCTATCTCGTTGATTATTTGCTGCTTGTATGTGCACAAATACAATTTATTCGTCATGTGTTGTTGGTGCCAAATATGTAATGTACACCAGTACAGAGTACAGACATTCGATCTATTTGGATAAGCTCTTGGGATCAATGGTACTAACTTATGAACGGTTTCTTGCTCAAATAGGTTGACTTCTCAGGCATGGTGGATGATGAATTCCTCGAGAGACTGGGCATAGAGAAGGGTACTAGAAAGGTCGTCAACCATGAGGAGAGGGGACGGGTCTTGCGTGCCATGGATGGCTGCACCTACAAGGCCGCTGCCGGAGGCTCATTGTCCAACTCGCTTGTGGCTCTAGCAAGGCTTGGTAGTAGTCGGGCCAGCAGCTACCCTGAGCTTAGAATAGCAATGGCCGGCAGTGTGGGCAGTGACCCACTTGGTAGTTTCTACAGGTAAAATTCACTAAGACAATATCTTCACTGCCTCTGATCTTGTTGTACTATTGCTACCAGTAAGGCTTTTGAACATTGTCTGACATCAAACTGTTGTTTGGATCATGCTGTTAGGCAAAAGCTGCATCGTGCTAATGTGCAATTCTTGTCCAAGCCGGTCAAAGATGGGACTACTGGCACTGTGATTGTTCTAACAACTCCAGATGCACAGCGAACTATGCTTGCTTACCAGGTTAGTTTCTTCACCAACGGCTTTCTGCTTTTTACAATAGTTGGTAAACTTGTCCAGATTATGATGTATCGTTAGACATAATTTATATGCTCTTTACTCTTTGGGTACTTCGGAGTTGTGCTAATGCCTTCCGGAAGATGCATCAATTCACTGTTTGGCTTCTTAAGACCGTATATTATACACATGATCTTATTTGAAGTACGTATGGCATTGTGAACATCCATCTTATATCAAAGATTCAATGGACAAGTATAATTTATTTTGCTGGCCATTTATGTAGAAATACTCCTGGTACTACCTTATTCTCTAATGATGCCTTGTAACTTGTCTTGCAGGGTACCTCTTCAACTTTGGCTTACGATTCAGACTTGGCAGAGATAGTATCCAGGTCAAATTTACTGATAGTGGAAGGGTACCTTTTTGAGTTTAGTCATACAATTGAAGCCATCAAGCAGGCATGTGAAGATGCTAAGAAGAATGGTGCACTTATTGCTGTTTCGGCATCAGATGTGTCATGCATCAAGCGTTGCCACAGTGATTTTTGGTGAGACTAACCTCCGGGCGATTTCCTGTTTCTATGGCACTTGCAATTATCTCGTCCCAGTTGCACATCCTCTTCAGTCTATAAGTCATCCTCCATTTCCTTTTAATTAACAAGAGGTCCATGAGTAGATCAGGGAAAGGTGTTGCTTTTACTTGCTTCCTACGGTGGTGATGACATGTGCCTGCTCTAGAAAATGCTACATCAGTGGGCTACATGACATGGTAGTTCTATGTGTTGATCATGTGACTGACATCATCAACAGAGCCATATAGTTCTGTATGCTTGTTTGTGATTGCAAGTGTATTTTTGCTCCACGTTCTCTATTATGGTAGCACAATGCTCTGTATATCCCAGCACCACTGACCTCGGTCCTAAACATTTTCAGGGACATCGTAGGGAACTATGCAGACATACTGTTCGCCAATGCCAACGAAGCAAGGGCATTCTGCGAGCTAACCTCAGAAGAGAGCACGGTCTCAGCTGCGAGATACTTGAGTCATTCTATCCCTCTAGTGTCTGTTACAGATGGTATGCATGGTTCTTACATCGGTGTGAAAGGTGAAGCAATATACATCCCCCCGCCGGCATGTATACCTGTGGACACCTGCGGAGCTGGTGATGCATACGCATCAGGAATCCTGTACGGTATCCTCCGGGGCGCATCGGATTTGAAGGGCATCGGCCTGCTGGCGGCCCAGGTAGCCGCTGTTGTCGTCGGGCAGCAAGGCACGCGCCTGAGGGTTAAGGATGCTGACAGGTTGGCTGAATCGTTCGAGTTCCACCTTGACAACTTGGAGTTCTGTTCAGATGCTGGAACGGACCAGGTTCCCAACTTATGATTTTTCCTCCCCCTCAAGTCCCAAGTCCTCGACAGGCGGCGACGATGGGAACTACTGGGGGCCGAAGTGGGCTGTGCCCCCTTCTCTAGAAGATCTCTTGAGCAATTGTTTAGTTTTACCACTCAGACTCAGGTTCTATATAAATGCTAAACCAGCACCTCCTTCCTTTGAAAAGCATACTAGCAGGTAAATTCCATCAGATTGCCGGCCCTTCAACTTCAAGCCCCGCCGCGACAGGTCGTAGGCACATCCACTTGTATATAGCATCTCATTCCTTTAGTCCTAGCTCATTGTCAGCTCTCTCGGCCTCTGTCACCATTTCATCACTTACATTTTTGCACGGGAAGGATGCTACATACATGATACATGGGTGTTTTTATTTCGAAAAAGGAACATGATATCATATGTTTGGCTGTAATGTAATGCAGTCGAAAGACAAATGCCATCTTGGTCTAGAATGTGAATAAACTTCTTTCGGCGGAACCCCGTGTGTCCACTGACCGAATTCGCGTCAAAGGGGATATGCTTATCACCAAAACTGTAATGCGATCGATCGTCCGACTTTGTTGGATGGGGATTCGATGTGGTTGGGTGGAACGTCGCCTTCAGCAGCGAAAGGTATAATATCTTGAGCTATACTAGTCAGAGCTGTACTGCAACCAAGTGCAGTTCAGTGCCCCAGATTCTCTTCTTTCTGGTAGCCTATATATATATGCTACTTGTTCTGCTAGCTTTGTTTCTACTAGCTTGTTAAATTTTTGGATGCTGCGTGGCGTGGAGCACACGTATGCTTGCTTGTTTGCAAACTTTTCTTGTTTGATCTGGGAACGCCACCCGACTGTAAAATGTTTCCTTATAGATACGTGTCGACCTGCTGAGCCATTGCCTCGAACAGTTGGCGAGAGCTGTAGACTGTAGAGTTGTTAGCACCATTTGAGGAGCTCCACCCCATGATAAAGAAAAGTTTTACATATATACCCCCTCTGTAAATTAATATAAGATCCAGTGATCTATATTCATTTCTCCGACAATATATTCATTTTCTCGACAAGTATTTTTGGAGGAAGGGAGTATCAGTTTAGTTTACAGAGGGAGTACCAGCTAGAATTTGTAGCAAAATCAGCAACATTGAAGGCTGACTATCTCTGCGCAAAAATTCAAAGCCTGAAGTAGTGTGATGCATCGTATTAATGTGGCGAGTTAGTGCGGATCCGGAATAACGTGGCAGAAATTTCATGGGCAGCAGTTTTAATTCTCCCGGGATTCATGACGCGCAAGCAAATACCCGTTACGCCCCTGGCTACCCCCCACCGCTTGCTTGCATAGGCCGTAAATACCAGCGGCAGCCAGGGGCAATCGTGACAATTCCGAAAAGGAAAGGAAAACTCCCACGGAGACGCACGCATCCCCCTTCTCTACTTGACTCGGAATCCAACAGCACGAAACGAACGCACCGCTCGCTTCCGCCCCTCCCCAACCTCCGTGCCCTCCCTCCCCCCACCGCCGCGCCGTCCGCGCCCGCCGCCTCAGCTGAGCGACGGCCGGGCCCTCTCGGCGGCGGCGATCGACGATGGTGGTGGCCACGGAGGAAATGGCGGTCTACTGCTTCGACACCCTCGTCGCCCACTACAGCGGCGAGCAGCCGCCGCCGCCCGCCTTCGAGGAGGGCGTCCAGTAAGCCTCCTCCTCCTCCTCCTCCCAGGCCGCGATCGGCCTCTCCCCTCCACGCCGTAAAGGACGGGCTTTCACGGCGGTCTGGCGTGGTTTCTTGTCAATTTCGCCGCGGATTTGGGGGAAGGGCTCGCCTTTTACGGCGGCGAGAGTGGATTTGGGCGTTTGCTGGCTTGGATTCATCGAGTGTATTCGCTAATATCAGATGCAGAGATTATCTTAAGTAGAGAAGAGGAAATAAGAAACACTCCCTCCTTTCACAGATATAAAGATGCTGCAACTTTCTTTTTTTTGAATCAGATGTATATATAGACACGTTTTTAGTGTGTGTTTTCACTCATTTCAGTCCACATCTAGTCCATATTGAAATATTCAAAACGTTTTATACTTGTGAATGGTGGGAGTCCACATGTTTTTGCATGTTTGGCCTTCCAGCTTTTGGTACCGGTTCCTATCCTGCCATTCGTAAAATGTTGTCAGAGTTCCATCACAATATTGTAGGTTTATTAAGACTGTTTAGCTAATAAGGTAGTTTCTGAAAAAACGTGTTAGAGTTATCTGGAAAAACATATATGTACCATGTCTGAGCTCAGTGGGTTAAATCTTGTAACTTCAGCCCACTGTTTGTCACCTGGAAGAAGGCTACCAATGGTTCCGAGCCACGCCTAAGGGGATGCATCGGAACTTTGGAGCCCCGTCAGATTGTAAGCGGCTTCAAGGATTACGCGCTGACCAGGTAACTGTTGTAAGGACATAAGATTTCCATGTGCTTGGTATCAATATTTTCATGTGCGCTACCAGTCAGTGTTGCACACTATCTATTAGTTGGATCATATGAACCAACTAAGATCTCACTTGTAGTGCCCTGAGGGATCGGCGCTTTTCTCCGATACAGTCCAAAGAGCTGCCATATTTGGAATGCACAGTTTCTATATTGACTGAATACGAAACTGCACTCAACCACCTTGATTGGGAGGTTTGCTCCTACATGCTATTAACTCTAATTCCATTGGTGTCTATGGTCTTACAGCCAAAAAATTGCATCAACGCCATTTTCTTATGAGACTGCAGGTTGGAAAGCATGGTTTAATTATTGAGTTCACCGATCCTGACTATAATGTAAGACGGAGTGGAACTTATTTACCTGAGGTTGCTGCCCATGAAGGTGAGCACTTATCAGCTACATATCCCTCCACTAATATCCCTCAGTTCTTAAAACTGCTACACACAGTTACATAATCAGCCCAAAACCCGTTGAAAATTTCTACTGAGTTACAATGCCATTGTGTTGTTGAGAAATTTGTCCCCACATGCCAATGTATTTTGGCTTTGTGTATCTCTATATAGAGTCTGCCATTTAGCTAGCAAAATCAACCCTCCAGTCTGTGCCCTGTTTAGATATCAAGTACTCATCGCAGTTTACTCACTTGCTTGAATGTATAAAGAACCTCAATGCAGGAGAGCCTCAAAGTGCTGGATATGTTAACTTCATGGGATTTCACAATATCACATGTCCATATATGGATGAAATAAATAAAATTGAAGAGCGCGGGAGAACAAATATAAATCTTTTAATCAGTACATTCCCATTTTAGTTGCCTCTCTCTCGATATATATAACATAGTCCTGAGATACCTGGCAGGATGGACACAACTAGAGACCATTGACTCGCTCATGAGGAAGGCTGGCTATAATGGCACCATCACCGAGTCTTTGAGGAAGAAAATCCGCGTCACCCGCTACCAGAGTACCCTGTACACCATGCACTATGGTGAATATACTGCATATGTCAAGAAGAACAGAGGTGAAATTAACGGGGCACCCATAGTTAATGGATTCAAACCAGGCCAGTGATTTATCTGTACTGTAGCAGGTAATACAACTATTTTTAATTTGGCTTGGAAGGAATTGGTGTGAGAATTTGTTCGAAAAAATCAACTCTAGTCATTGATCTGCCATCATGCCATTTCATTCCAAAGAATGTGGGGTGCCATGTCAACGGCCCTCATGTCGTTCTGGGACAAATTAAATGGTGATGGTTATGTATCTGTAAGCCTATGCACTTTGATTACAAATAATTGTGTGAAATTAATTGATTTAAGTTGTTCATTCACTGGTTATGATACCAGTAATCTTGTCTTGTTACTACTTGAGATTTGATCTGGAATGTTAGTCAAAAGCTCAAACATAACAATTATTGCCAAGAAAAATACAGGATGAACTCACAATCTGATGTTTGTTGTGACCAACTGAAGCATGAAGAACAATTCTGAAACTACTTGGTACTATGGCAGTGCCCTTCTGTTCCTTTCCACTCTAGACAACTGGAGGCAGGCACCTCACACAAAGAGCAATAACACTGCATTGTGTAGAACAACAAATTATTTATGCTGGAAAGGAATTTATCATAGTATAGTGGAATCTCTAAAAAGACATATACTCCCTCCGTCCCAAAATAAGTGTCTTAAGCTTAGTACTCCCTCCGTCCGGAAATACTTGTCCTAGAAATGATTGAAAATGAATGTATCTATAACTAAAATAAGTCTAGATACAACCATTTGTAGGACAAGTATTTTCAGGCGGAGGAAACTTTATACTAGAGTTAATACAAAGTTGAGACACTTATGTAGAGACGGAGGGAGTATTTAGGAAGGGAGGGAGTGCTTGCAAGCAATCATGGATGGGCAGTCAGTCAGGTTACCTTGCGACAACGGCTCTCGTGCGGAGTTGTATCAAATGGGTAATTCCCACACAGGTGCCTTGGATGCGGAAAGTCTTTCAGTGCCACCTAGTTATTCATCATCATGGAGTATATCAGAGATATTGTCACATTTGTACGGATTCAACATCATAAAACATTGAACAGTTCTTGTCACACAAAATCTGAATCATTTGCACTTAGTAGTACTACTGTTATTTGTGGAGCATAAAACATCATTTCTCATTGCAAGCATAGCAAGCTGGAAAGCCAGTTCAAAGAGCCTGTTTGGCTACTACAACTACGTCGTCACCGTCTTCCTCATCAAACACTCTTCCTTCAGGGCTGAGTTTATCCATCTCAGGGAGATGGTCATACCCATCCTCTTCTCCGACACACTCTTCAGCACCATGATGGTCTTCAGGTTTGTGCTTTATCGGCGACATGACAGGAACAGCAACATCCTCAAAGTATTCAGATTCAGACTTCAGCAGCGGCATGGCAGGGATGGTTTTCTCCTTGGAGAGTTCATCCGTGCCACTGTTGTGCGTTACCGGCGACAAGTCAGGAATGACGACCTCCTCAAAGCATTCAGACCCGCATTTCAGCGGCGACATGTCAGGGATGATTTCCTCCTCGATGGGTTCATCCACAGCACCGGCATTGCCTTCAGTCTCACACTTTGCCTGTGACATGCCAGGATTGACGACCTCCTCGAAGCATTCGTCACACTTCAGCAGCGACATCTCAGGCATGACTTCCTCCTCAGAGAGTTCATGCTCATCGCCACCACTGGTGCCATCTTCAGGTTCGCCATTCACTGGCAACATCAGGAACGCTCTTCGGCAGCAGCACGTCAGGGATGGTTTCAGGGAAGAGCTCGTTCGCACCATTGCCATCTTCAGGTTCACGCTTGACCGGAGACATGTCGGCGAAGAGCCCCCCAAAGGGCAGTTCGGAATCGGACATCACCAGCAGTGGCTCGACAGGGGTGCTTTTGACATCAGGCTTGGCCTCAAGAGGCTCCATCTGATGGATAGTAGGTTCATCTTCTTCAATCTCATAGGGGTTATCCAAGCGATCACCAGCAATGCGTCCGTGCAGGCCACCATTACCATTGGCGATGATAGGGATGGTTTCTGCAGAATGCTCCGACCGATCTACTTCCACCCTGACTTTGATCTACAGGGCATGACAGGAAAAAGAGAAGATGTTCCCGTGGTTCATGAATTTTACATCAGGTGAATATTATGTTTAAGAAAAC